AGTCTGTGGGATAAAAAAAAAAGGTTTCCGAAACTATACTATCATACTACACTGAGGTCGCTTAAAATCACAATGTTTTTCTACCATTTAAGGATTGCCCATCTATTCTTGTTGAAATCAGCGAGCTTCATTTGGTTTTAGCCAGCTTGATATTTCCCTTTCTGTTATAACGCGATGTCCTAAGCGGCCGGGAAAGAAGGAACAGAATTTAAGGGACGGTATAGGTGAGGACCGTGAGAGGAATATAATACATCAATCTATTGAATACATAATCTTCATGAAAGAAATAACAATTTCTACATTTCTTAAGGTTCTCACCAGTGTTCAAAGGTATTGGTGACAATTAATTTTGACACCTACTGTCGGCTTAATAAAGTGTATATACTCGTATGGTTTAACTGTGGGTTGTAGTAAATTTTTAATTGATCAACTTGGTTGATCGCAGCACTATAGTTTTGAATCCACCATCTTAAAATGAATGTGTCAGTAAGCATACAGCGTGGTGATTGTTTGTACCAAAGTTTATTTAATTTCGACGCTTTTAAATGGGAATCTCCCTTTGAGAAAAATCTAGCGAAAGTGGCACTCCTGTAACCCGCATTACAGTCAAGGGTGTATGTTGGTTAAATGGTTGCCGAGAGTAACAAAAAAAAGCTAAAAAGCTGAAACTTTGCCAGCATAAATAGTTGGCATGGGATGACATGTCATAAAAATTTTAGCTCGAAATGTTGAGTGACATAGTCGTAGTGGACTTGTCAAGTTCAAAACTCCATTTCAAGGGCTTAAATTGAATTGTCAATCTTGACTACGGATGAAAGGGCATGTACATTTACCTGATTTTTTTAAATGTGCATAAAACTAGTTTTAAAATTTTCGGGGTAGTTAAGAGAACCTAGTGGTGTGTATTAGCTATCGATCTATCGATTAATTGCCGTGGAAAATGCCAATTACCCTTTAAAATGCACCCTTACCCCAAAGGGTGCCACAAAGGTTACATTTCACTTTTGAAAAGTTAATAAAAAATAGTAAAATGCGTCAGTTCTTTTGAAATTTTAACATAACACGAACGAAACACTGATAGACCCATGCACGCTTTAATTACGACTTTTTCAGCATTCCTCAACGAGTCATTACTTGAGAT